GTAAGTTAAATCTCTCCTTTTTCTTTAACTAACTAACTAACTAACAAGAAGACAACATACATATCAGATGTAAAAGAAATGCTTTTGTTTTATCAAACTATTTAATACTCTCCTCTTTCATCATTTCAATTCTTTATAGATACTATTTTTTACTCAAAACCTTTTTGTTTCGTTTTATGGGGGGACAGATTCATTGTGATTCGAGTGAAAAGTTTTTAAGGCTAATTGGTTCTCCATTCAAATTATTAAAGATCTTTGTAATGGGTCATCTAGAGGCACAGATAATACAGTAAGATCCTATTTGGATTCACTATCAATAACAAGAAACAAAGAACAGTTGGTAAACAAAGAGTAGGAAAGATTTTTCTTGTGATTTGATTAAAAGCTTACAAGAAAGGTTGGGTTTGCACTCATTTACTGATAGACATTTTTTTCTTCTCTCCTCTTCCTCCAATTCACTTTTTAATGCGTGTCCTGTTCGAGACTGTTATGTTATACATATAATTTCTAACCATTCATTCCTTTCAGAGAGTCCTTCACTTCACCTATTCCAGTGTATTGTTCATTAACTACCAGTTATAACAGTGGTCTTATGAAGTATTTGTCCTTTTGTCATTGAGATATGTATGTCACTCAGCATAATGCCTTCCTGATTCACCCATGTTGTGTAGTGTAGTGTTTTACAAATTCATTGTTTTAAATGCTGGGCAATATTCCAATGTGTGAATGTATCACAGTTTTTCTAGCCACTAGTTTTTTGTTGGCACTAAGGCTGCTTCCATCTCTTTGCTACTGTGAATAATTGCTGTGATAAACCTGGGTGTGCAAACCTTTGTTTATGTAATGGCACTGGTTTCTTTAGGGTATGTTCCCAATATTGGATACTAGGTCAAATGGAACTTTTATTTCCAACATTTTGAGGATGTTCCAGACTGTCTTTTCTAGTGGCTTTACCATTTTGTATTTCCACCAGCCCTGTATGAGAGTTCCAACCTCTCCACATCATCACTCACTGTTGCTGAACTTTGCTACTGTTGCTGGGGTGAAATGATATCTCATTCTTGTTTTGATTTGCATCTCTCTAATAACTAGGGATTTTGAACATATCTTCATATATTTATTGGCCATCTGACTTTTTTTTGGGTGAAGTATCTATTCATATTTTGTGCCATTACGAGCAAGAAGGCAGTGGAATGGTACATACCAAATATTCAAAGAACACAGTTGCTAAGTAAGAATTCTGTACTCAGAAAAACTGCCCATCAACTATGACAGAGAGATTAGGACATTCCCAGAAAAGGAGAAACAAAGGGAGCTTGGAAAATAGGACCAATGTTGCATTAAAAAAAATACTAAAGGAAGTACTTCCCACAGAGATGCCATAGAAAAATGAATGGATCAAAGTAGTTAGCAACAATGCAAAAAAGAACCAAACAAAATTACAGCAATAAAGTCTTGCCTGTCGATAACTACCCTGAACATAAATGCTTTAAATGCACCAGTGAAGAGAAAAAGAGTAGAAGAATGGACAAAAAACCAAAGTGCATTAATAAGCTGTCTACAAGAGACACACCTGAGAAACGAAGAAAAAAAAATAGAATGGTCATTACATTTCCATGAATAAAACAAGATCTGTTAAGAGGACTGGAACTAGTTTCTATTTTTTTTTTTTTTTGCTGTTCTAATAGTTTTTTTTCCCTTTTCTTTTTTATTAAATTTTATTAGTTTTAATGAACATTTACAGAGATTTTGGGTTTTCATTTATTCATTGTTGCACTGTTTTCTCCACCCTCATCCCCAGTTCATTCTCCCCACACCCCCAATGTCTGTTTTAATTGTCCAATTGCCACAGTGCTTGTCAAAGCCAGTGGAACTAGTTTCTAAGAACACAATTTCATTTCAGTTATTAAAAGAGTCTGGATTCCAAGATTCAATCACAGCTTCCTCAGTTTTCTTTTTCACTAGCTTCCTCAGTTTTAAGAGTTAATATTTTTAACATTGAAACTGGAACCTCTATTCTTATCTCACAATTAAAATTCTGCTACTCTTATTTTTAAATGCCACCAAAGACTGGCATTTATTCAGTCCTTTATAAAGGAAGGTGGGACATAAATGCACTCAGAGTCCTTAATAAAGGGAAAAGGAATGGCATTTCAGTGGCATAACACCTCAAATAGTTGTTGTTGTTGCTGTTTGGAGCCAACAAGTTGAGTATGACTCACAGTGACCCTGTGAACAAAAGATCTGAACCTCGTCTGGTCCTGTATATCCACTAGGCCACCAGAGCTCCCTAGAAATAACTGTTGTTGTCTTGTGCTGATGAGTCATAACTGACCCATTGCTGACCCTCCAGCAAATTGTCAGAGGCAGCAAATCACAAGAGAGGAGACTGCTCATCCTTCCTCCAGGGAGCAGTTGATGGATTCTACCTACATTCCTTTGAGATTGTAGCTCAGCTTCTTGCCACTTGGCCATCAGAGGTCCTACTAAATATGACCAGGAAAAGTAAAAAAAGTACAAAAAAAAAAATAATGGTACCATGCTTCCAAAGATAATATTACTTCCTACTTTAGACAATAAGCATTCATTGGTATTAATCCTCAGTTGCACTGCCAACCTAAAGGCAGGGTATTTAAATCTACTAGCTGCTCCTTAGTAGAAAGACAGGCAATCTCCTCCCTAGGATTTAGTTTCTGAAAACCCACTGAAGGGTTTGTCCTCAGGTGGTTATTGTTATTATGTGCCATCAAGTCATCTGCGACTTATAGCAACCGTATGTTCTTAGCTCTGAAACCTGCCATATCCTGGACCAATCTCATCTTCTCTGAGAGATTTAATCCCATTTCTCCAGACACTGAGTCAGTCCATCTCATCCTGGGTCTTCCTCTCTGGCACTGCCCCTTCCACCCTTCCAACATGATTTCCCCCTCCAAAGCCTCCTCTTTTGTGATTCCCAGTGTGAAGGTTCTGCTGCTGGTGTCATGCTGGTCTAATCTAAATATGCTCTGTTGTACATACGGTTTTCTGAGGCCTATTATTTCAAGAGTGGAGGGCCAATCCTTCTCCCTGTTGTCCTCAGGCAGCATCTATAATTGTATCTTTTCTTTTTTTCAAACCTCAATTTTCATACACTGTATAAAGTGAAGTACACCTAAAGTAGTTAGGATTGTCAGACTTTAATTGAAATAATTATGAATTTGCTTATCTGAAAGATTTTGAAGAAAATTTAACATTTAATACCTAAAAAAAGCAGAAAGGAATAAAAACAATGATACATATTATACTGTATTACTTCAAAATCATATTCCTAGCAACTTAAACATCTATACTCTAATTGCTAATCTTTGAAAAAGGGAAAGGATTTCTGAGTTCCTAATAAAAGAACTCAAAATTACCCTATTTATACACAATTCCTGACTGCCAATTTACTTTATTCACAGCTCAGACCAAGCTTGGTTATTTTATTTTCCAGTTCCCAGAAGATTAGATAGAGAAAGGAAACTAGAATAGAAAAGGTAGTAGTTAGAGATGGAAAAAATAATATCATTTTAAAGTACCACCAGTAGCTAAGGAAAAAAAGAAATTCTATTAAAAGATAGACTAGGGACATTTAACAAAGGGAAACAAAAACTATATGTACCAAATGTACCACATAATGGCATAAAACCATTATATTGGATGGTGATTAAGGTTCTAACTTATATAACAAGTGCTACAGAGGAAAGAAGAAATAGAATTTATTATATTCCTATTTTTTAAAAGCTTAATATGCTTTATTCCTAAAGTTGCAAAATCTACTTATTCTATCTCAAATGATCTTTACTAATAAAACATTACTTGATTTTCCATTTAACCTCCCATTGATATTTATTGAAATAAATGCAATGAAAATCTCACCCATATATCCAACATAATGAAATTATGTAAGTGTTCAGCTCTTTTGTTCATAGGGTCACTATGAGTCATCTATGACTTGAGGGCCTTTAACAACAACAACAATAACAACAAGAACAACAACAACAACAACTACTGTCTATAATCAACCGAAATTCCAAGACTAAGGTATAATAACTTTGGGCAGTTAGATTACTGACAGCCAGTAAGATCTGTACAAACTTTCACAGTTCATGTTCTTTTTTTAAAACAATTATTTTTCATTTTTTACTCATGGCAACTCTATAAGATAGAGTAGAACTGTCTCTTAAGATTTCCAAGACTAAAAATCTTTTCTAGAAGTAAGCTGTCTTGTCGCTTTCCACTGGAGAGACTGCTTCATTTGAACAGTCAACTTTTTGGTTGTCCATACTTAATCCTCTTCACCATCTTGGCTGCTGTGTAACAGTGCAGCTCCCACAGTATAAATAGGCATTCCCTTTGTGAGGTGCTTCCCCAGAAATGCATACTCTCACTTCCAAGATTGTCTTGCAAAAAAATAAGCATCAACCTGGTGATCTGTGTTTGCAGAAGATTAAAACTCAGATAGGAAAAGTCACCTAGATATTGATTAAGAAATAAGAATGCAATGAAAGTGGGTACAGTAATGGATCTTTCTATTCTTTGACATAGAGAGCAAAGTTTCCTTTAAAAACAATATATACAAACTTTATGAACTTGCATGCAAATCAGTATAAAATTAAAAAATAATAGCCAAAAAAACCCCTCTAAAAATTTATTTTATACTGATTTACATACAAAATTCATCAACTTCATATACATTGTTTTTCACATCGAATCTTAAAGGTACAGTTCATGTCTTTGATGAAAAACTGAGTGAGTAATGATTCTCAAAGTTTCTGATTTCATGTCATTGGTTGATATCCAGGACTGGAATGCTTTTGTTATAAAATAGTAAATAACTTAAAAGACGTTTGGGACTAGTAACCCTTACATATATGTGTGTGTACAAATATATGTAGTTTGTACTTTCCAACTTTCTTTCTGTACACCAAAAACGTATCTCCTGTAATGAAAAATATAAAAACATATATAATACAACTTACCGCATCACTCTCGGGCTGTGAAACTACAATCGGCTGGCCTGTGTCTGAAGCTTCCCTTATGTTAGGGTGTAAGGGAATGTCTCCTAAAAGAGTCCACCAGATATCCATTAAGTACCAGAGGAGTTTAGAATTTTGCTAAGCTCCAGAAAAAACAAAATCCACAGCTAAGTGAATTCAACTTGAATTCTTACTCTCCTCAAACACTAAACTTCTAAAAAAAGAAATTTGAAATTAAAATCATAGGCAGAATATTGCAGTTCAGGGTAGTACAGTAATTGCACTGGTATTTATGGAAATGTAACAAGTGAAAATTAGAGGAAAATACACCTGCTCCTGATTTCCCAACATGATAAAGTTCTAAAAACCAAGTTGATATATATATACAAATCAGTGTTAGGTGAAAATGGAAGGTAACTGAATCATTATGTAAGTGCCACAGAATATTATCACATAACTGCATTACTGCCATGGCTCAACTGACTTGACATGTAGCCTTTACTGTTACAGTTGGCAATACCCTCGCCTTGCATCGACTCCTGCCAGATATACATCAGTAATATATGAACTGGATTTTTTACTTATATAATAAATATGAAATATCACGTAACAAGATGGATGGAAAGTGAAGAGTAGGTGTAGGTGTTTTTTTAATCACTATATTTACTTTATTTTTTTTATAGTCTTAGCTCTATAGTTAGAAAATTTTATAGATTAATTTACATCATCTATTCTTTTTTGCCTTTTTAAAAATTTTAATAACTTTTGTTAAACAATTTTAATGAGCATTTACAGAGATTTTGGATTTCCATTCATTCATTGCT